TAGGTATGTGAGGGAGGCCTACACTAAACCAGACAAAGCAAGCGAGTACAGGGGCAGGGAACACAGAATCAAAGCAGCCCCGGCCCAATTTCCTTCAGGCTTCCTTACCTGGCACCTTTTATATCTAGAACGATAGAAGTTTCCTCAGCTTCTAAACTCTGATGACTTTCTGAATTACCCAGAGCAACTAGGAAAAATCTGAGTATATGTTAAATACTTGGTAAGTACTATTGAATAAAAGGGTTACTTTCTAACAGCAGGAGTTAAGGTTCAAATCTCAAAAGGAAGAATGGAACCAACGGAAGAAGGGCATTCCAGAAAGATGTGATGAAAAGCCTGGACGCAAGCATGCAGGTCCGAGACAATCCTCAGGCAATGGTGAGTGGATCAGAAGACTGGAGAAGAAAGGAAGGAAAACAAAGATCACAAAGGGAGCTTTGGCCACATGACCAACCAGGATCTTGAGATCTGATGCACCTGGGAAGTCCTAAGGAGCCATCCAGTGTTCTCAGAGGCAGTGATTAGACTGACGGTGGGAGATTAAACAGAAACTAAGACCCCCTAGAAGAAGGGATGTTCAGATACCGTCCTGTGAAGCTACTTAAATTCTGATAGAGATCTGGGATTTTATTAGCATATGAACATGAGGAAGTACAAAAGATTAGCAGTAAGAAATACAGCGTTAGTATAATCCCTAACCAAAAAAAAAAAAAAAAAAAAAAGAAAGAAAAGAAGAGAAAAAAGAAAAAAAAGAACAGGAACAGAAACATCAATAGACCGCTATCAGGAGTTCAGGAAGAATTCTGAACCTACCTCTTAAGAGATTCAGTTGAAAAATTGGTATTTATCTTAATGCAAAATGCCCAATAAACCCCTGTTCTGTTTTATTTTGTTTTCTAATTCTTTTCCTTTTGTAACCATCCATTTGTAGGTATTTATCTGATGTCTCCTGCCATGGAACCATGACAGCAAAGCTGTATCATTTTCTATTTCAAGCAAAGGAAGAAAAACACATGAAGGTAAACAGCAGAAAATTTATGTTTGGTCAGTGGAGGTCTCTGCTTTCCCTCTAGCACACTTAAAAGAACAAAGATTTAAAACATATGGAACAATGCTCCAAAATAATTTGCTCATTCCTTCCAAGTAATACTCCTAATTAGTAAGCCTTAAATTAATAAGCTAAGGAAAAGAAAATGGATGCTATTGAAGGGAAAGTAACTATAATGATTTAAAGGCATTATAGGGGCATAGATACCATAGGGAAATTTAGAAGGTATCTGAGATCCCCTAAGAATTTTGAAGTCCTATGTTATATACTGTGTAAGTTCATTAAGACAGCCATTTTTCAGGGGAATATGGCCTGATCTATATTAAAGGTAATTTTCTTAGCAACCTGAGCATTTTACATGGGAAACTAGGCCCACTTTCATTTTACTCTGAGTTCAAAGAGAAGTGAACTTTATCGATTAAGTCTGAATTAACATAAGGTCATATCTAGAAATAACCTCTAAAAAACATGTTAAAACATTAGCATATCTGAATATTCTTATAAGTACTGTGAAATATGAGTATCAACATGCAAAACAAAGCATCATTTCGGTGGTTTTCACTCTCAACCAACAAAAGAACAGTCACAGATGGCTGGGTACCAGAGAATCCTCTTTATCTACATTTTATGTAATTGTAGAAGAATATACAGGGGTAGGAATAACCTCTGTGGTGTGATCCATTCATATAAAGATCCCTGAACAGGAAAGCGACTTAACAAATTTGATGGTATTTAGAAATGAGAAGAAAGGGTTGCTTCAACAGACAAAGGATAATTTGAATTTTGAATTTTGCTCAAGGGCAAAGATACAAACAAGTGTACAGGTACCTCTGTGTGTGTGTGTGTGTTACTGAGGTATTAATACAGACTAAACACCACAAATCTCCAGTTTACAGTTCAGTGATTTTTACATGTGTGTGTATATGGGAAGCCATGATGATAGAGAATATTATCAGCATTCTAGAAGATTCTCCTGTGCTCTCTCTCAGGCCAAAAAATAATAATCCGATTTCTATCACCAGTGTTTGATTTCACCTTTTCTTGACCATCATATAAAAGGAATCATACAACATATACACATTTGTGTCTGGCTTCTTTGGCTGATGTTAAATCTGTGAAATTCATCTATGTTATTATGTGTATAGACAGTCTGTTCTTAATTGCTCAGAATATACCACAATTTACTTATCCATTCGACAAATGATGAATATTTGGGTTATGTCTAGTTTGGAGCTATTATGAATTAAGCTACTGTAACACTCCCCTATATATCTTTTGTATGTATATGTGTGTGTGAGTGTGTGTGTGTGTGTGTGTGGACATAAACACTGCACTCATTTGTCTTGAATATATACGTACAAGTGGAACTGTGCACCACACAGTATTTCTCCTGAAATATTAACGGGAAAACAAATATCTTTCTTCAACATGCAGGATGATTTGTTTGGTTATTTCTTTTACCTCGTATGTTTTTAAAGTAAAGTCAGACAGCCTCTAGTGCAATGATTCCACCCCAGCTCAAATAGCAGAATCCCTTGGGAAACTTCGTTAGAGATTCTTCTGTGTTCCCCGCCCCCTGCCAAACAAAACTACCGCAATCAAAACTAGAAATGCAGTGAATGGGGTGAAGAGATACTGCTTGAGGAAATAAACACTGTGCAAACCTAAGATCTTTTTATCTTATCTAATTTTAATTTGCTTAAATTATTCCCACTTAGAAGTGAAAACTAAAGTCAGGAGTGTTTACTCATTAATTTTTAAAAATATTTGTTCACTCTCCCTGCATTTTAATGAAGAATAAAGTTTTGGGTTAAAATGGCAACCATTACATTGAAAGAAAAGCAGCAAATTCAACTCATAATAGTATTTTAGAACCGAAAGAATCCTTTTTTAAAAGGAGGGATAGAGAGCCTCACAAAGCAATCACATCATCAGAAACAGGAAAACAAAATAATAGAGGGAAAAACTTGGAGATGAGAAGCTGTAGACTAAAGCTCCTTTCAAAAGAGGACAATGTGTGTCATCTGAAAGTCAAATGCCTAATATGGTAATGTTCACAAAAAAGCCAGGGTCTCCTGAAAAACCTTTCCACAGAAGACTCTCAAATTCTTTGATAAACAAAATACATTCAAAATGTTTTCCTCTCTTGCCAGAAAAAAATAAGAAAAAAGGTAAGAGGGCAGGCAAGTCTCCAGAGAACTTCATTTTTGAAGATGTCACATGGGCAGATTGGAAAAAAAAAAAGGAAAAAAGTATGGGCAAATTTAGGGAGGATGATACCATAACTTATCTGCAAGAGGACATGGGATATACTTGACATAAAACTGACATCAGAAAGAGTATAAGTGAAGGGTTATACTGTGTAGACACAAAGACTGAATGAATGAATGAGTGACCAAAGACACGAATAAACTCCTACAGCATTTGTCTTGGTTTCTCCTTCGGCAATGGAGCCGGCAGACAGGCGCGTGAACCTCAGTAATGAAGCACTGCAATTTCTATACAATATTCAGAGGACTTTTTTAGAAACAGAGTGTCACATAATCCTCTACCTAGAGCAGGAAGTTCAAGAGAACAGACAGGTGAGATTTTATTGGGTTGTTTTTCGTCTGTGGTTTTTGTTTTGTTTTGTTTTGCTTTAATGCTGAGGAGCTACAGGTAACACCGCGAAAAAGAGCTCTTCCCAGCATCAGCTACAAGTCTGAACGGATGGCAACTGAAAGAACACATGTTTAAGTGACCAAGATGGGTGTCCGGGACATAGATGGAGAAGGTCCAACATACATTCCTCTTGTCTGAAAGATGCTGAAGCAAAACAAGAACCCGCAATTTGCCTGATGTATTAGTACAATTCGCACGCGTTAAGTCCCTTCCTGGGCGGTTCCCAAGATTCTGTCAACATTCATCGGTTCAGTTTCTTTTAAGTAAAACGAAGCAACCTATTTCTTTCCTACACAATGGGCCAGCCTCAGAAACTGTGGTCTCCTTTACAAACTATACCAATCCCTTGTAATAGATCTTTCAACAAGTGCTGATGTAATACCTGTCCCTAATATGAGTGTCCTGCGCACTCCGAATGTTCACACACAACACGCAACCACGGATGCTCCTGAACCTTTCAAGGAACATCTCAAACACCAAAACCAAGCTTTAAATTCCACATTTTCTTCATCCTCAATGATTCCAAATCACAACCAAAAAATTAAAAAGCTTAGCTCTTCACTTTCAATCAGAATCCCCCAAAGAATCCCCCAAAAACCCAAGCACCAAAACATTCATGTAAAACATTAGCTTTCTCTATTTAGAAGAGATAAACTGAACCAGTAAGGTGATCAATCAATCTTCCATTACATTTGGCATCTAGAGAAGATGGTGGGGCACGTACTCACAACTGACCAAATGAGGGAGCTTCACACTTTAAGGATTTCACAACTTCCCCTGTATGTGTAAATTAGGACCAGTATTCACTAATAAAAGCAGTACTTTTTCTTTTAATATTACAATTCATCTAGATATTCCACACTGTTCTAATTTGAAAAGAACACATGTAGAAGTATTTTAAATACTTCATTTAAAGTCAAATGGATGACCATAATAAAGTCTTTCATTTACTTAACTAAAAAAACCTATTTAACTTTAATTTATTTAACTAAAGAATTATAATTCAACAGATTTATAAAAATAAATTTTTAAATGGGGTTTATAAAGATACAAAGTCAAAATATAAAATGTATATATATATGCTTATACATGTATTTATAGACCTCTTTCGTTTTACATTCACATTTATAATTTTTAGCATATACTATAAAATTCAGAGTTACACTCTAAGCACTCTGATTGAATTGATAAAGGCCCTTTCTTTAGATTATTACAACAAACTGCTAAAGCTAATACTGTAAAGCATAAATTTTTAGCACAAAGTCTAATTCAGACATTGCTGTATACTTACTACATCAAACTTCTGAGTGATGTTCCCCTGGATATCAAGTAAATAAACCTTGCCGTAATGGGTGCCCAGTGCCAAAAACTGCAAGAGGAACAGAGGGGTCAGTTTATTAATGTACCATTAATACACATTTAGTAATCAAACCATTTTCGAAGTCAAAACCGAATGCATAAGACGTGAGCAACGCCTTGCGAGGGATGCTCTCCTTGGAGAAGGCTTGTTTCCGGCATCAGGAAAATAACAGAGCAGGGCCTACTTTATTGTGAGAGTGCAAGTCGGCTGTCAGAATGACTCATGAGGACCCTCATCTGCTGACAACTAATGGTGTGGATGCGGTCCGTACACAATGCCTGATGGACTGAGGCTGCAGATTCCAGTGCAGCTGGGAAAATACGACCAACCTATGGTTGAGCTCCAAGTCAGAAGGGAATGATTAACCCCCACGTAAATTTATGGCAAATGTGTAAATCTGTGCTATCATTTAAGTTGAACAAATATATACACATGCACAAATGCCAAAGTATGATTTTTTTTTTTAAAAGAAAGGAAAATCTAAGTCATGCTGAGAGATGAAAAAGCTTGGAAGTATTTATATTATCAGTTAGCATTTAGATGCCTCTATAAAAGTTAATGTATAATACTGAGTGTAAATGTTTATATTCTAATGCAAAAAAAAAATCCTTTTCTGTCACAAAATAACTGCTGAGCTACATATTCATTTTACGGTATGAAAGAGTTCATACGTCCCACTGTTCCTTTAATTCTCTGAACTAACCCTAAACAAACATGGAGAAACTTTAGGACTACTTGAAATATGACAAGAGATTTTTCTTCTTTTTTACTTCTTGCGGCGTTACTCAGAGTTCCAAATTCTATGCATTTCATTGCATGGGAGCATGCTTCATTGCAACCTATAATGAAATGCTCGAATTTACAGGCACTACTAAGCGTTTCAGTCAAGCAGCACAATCTTTATAAAAATAACCTTACAGAAAGTCAAGATTTAAAAGGATTTTATCGAAATGGAATTGCTTAAAATGAAAATTTCAGTTCAGGCACTTAAAATATGAAGCTACATTAAAGAGAAGTCACAAAAAGGGAAAGAAGGGGTTCATTAGAAATTCCTCCCCTGCAATGCCTTTCACTCCTGCAAGGTTGCCTTTTTTCAGGAAGAAAAAAGTCCCCCGGGTAAAAAAATCAATACTGGTTAATAAAACATCAGGTGTGCAGACATAACTAGGTATGACGATCCCAGTGCACAGGCCTGCCTGAATGCACCGGGTGCCATGCCGATTACTCATCCAGGGCAGACAGCAAACCTGCTGGAAACGGGAAGCCTGGGCCCCACGAAGGAAGGGGCAAGAGGTAATTCTAGGGGGAAATCAGTCTGAATATTTAAACCAAACCGGGACCCAAAGCAAAAAAACATTCTAATGTTGCATCCAAAGCAAAAGAACATTCTAATCAGAAACAGAGGACTCAGATGGCTCAGACGGTTGTCATTTTCTTTTGACCCAGTGACTCTGACAATATCTGAATTTAAAAAAAGAAAAGAAACCTGCATAATACTAACTAAAAACAAATACTCTGCCTCTTTCTGAGGCTATGATAAAACAATGTGTCTTAAAAGCTCACCACACCCCAAGTATTCGACAGTATTGATTCTCCTCATAAATACTGTATTTAGTTTGTTAGAAAAGTAAAGGGGCTTGGATCCTAAAGGTGCTTCAGTACTGGGTGATTTTCCAATGCCTCAGTGAAGGCCATTCTTGAGCTTCCAGTGACACTTTATTTTATCAGAAGTTTCAAAGGTTCTATGCAGAGTACCCAAATATTAATTCCTTCCTTTTCCCTTTTTTGAAATTACTAGTTTGACTCATTTAAGATGGAAAGAAAACATAAAATAATTATTTTGAATTTATAGTTTCAACCTGAAACTAATTACTTCTGAACAAAAAAAATCCAGTGGTTTCAGGGTGGCTGGGTAGCTCAGTCAGTTAAGTGTCCAACTCCTGACTTCGGCTCAGGTCATGATCTTCGTAGGGATGTGAGATCCATGTGGCGGGTGTGGAGACTGCTTAAGATTCTCCTTCCTGGGGCGTCTGGGAGCCTCAGTGGGTTAAGCCTCTGCCTTTGGCTCAGGTCATGATCTCAGGGTCCTGGGATCGAGCCCCACATAGGCTCTCTGCTCAGCGGGGAGCCTGCTTCCCCCTCTCTCTCCTCATGCCTCTCTGCCTACTTGTGATCTCTGTCTGTCAAATTGAAGGGGAAAAAAAAAAAAAGGAAAAAGATTCTCCTTTCTTCTGCCCTGCCCCGCCCCAAAAAGTTAAAATTAAAATTAAAAAATGCAGTGGTTTCTAGAACAAGCTACCTTTTGTTTACTAAAACATTTCATCATTTGGATTAGATAAGTTGTTGCTGCTGCCTTTTCAAAATAAATAATTTCACTGCTCTTTAAAAAAAAAAAAAAGGGACGCCTGGGTGGCTCAGTTGGTTAAGCGGCTGCCTTCGGCTCAGGTCATGATCCTGGGGTCCTGGGATCGAGTCCCACATCGGGCTCCTTGCTCGGCGGTGAGCCTGCTTCTCCCTCTGCCTCTGCCTGCCACTCTATCTGCCTGTGCTCACTCTCGCTCTCTCTCTCTCTCTGACAAATAAATAAATAAAATCTTTAAAAAAAAAAAAAAAAAAGTCTGATAAGGTCTTAGAAAATTTATTTAACTACTGAAATTATTGATGCTTTCACCTGCTAGTGTTTTTGATAACTCAAAAATTCAACAAAAAAATGCAAAATTGGCCACAAATCACAAAAGTAAATTCGAATCCTTTGAAATGCGACTCTTTGTAGCCATGAAAAGCCTTGAGCTTTTGTAAGTATTAATTTTTTTTTAACCTGAGGACACTTAAAATCTTGGATGGAGAAAGAATAAGCATAATTTAATCAACCTCCTTCATGTTTACTTACAGAAACTTGACTCCTTTTATAAACTACCAGATAGATGTCCAATCCTTCTGACCCATCCCATCCACTGGCATAATGGCTTCTACTTTTATCAAGTGGACTTTGTGTAAGTAAACAAGAGGAACAAGTGACAAGCTTTGGACACCACAAAGGACAATTAGGAGCACATTTCCTATGTGATTAGCTGTATAGTGTCATCTATACTCTCCCCATGGCATTTTACAGTATCAAAACATCAGAGCAGGGAGTGCCTTTAACTACACATGAGAAACTAAGTCCCGGGAGTTGATGTGATTTCCCTGGAAATGGTCAATCAGTGGCAGAAAGAGGGCCTGAATTAAGAGCCAAAATACTCTTAATTGGATCAGAAGCCTCATAAATAGAAACATGGGCATCAGATTAAGAGCGTGTGTTCTATAAGTCAGCACTGATTACAGTTCCCACTGTCAGAAGGCTCCTTGACCGAGTTGGTTTAACTATGGTGTTAATAAAGTTTGATCTCTTGGCAGGCAAACTGTTCTCCTTTTTATCCATTCAGAGGTTCAACCATATATGCTCAGATAAAAAGCAGGTATAATGGTATAAAAAAGGAGACAGATTAGAAAGACATTAATTAAATTTAAAGAGTACGCTTAGAATGGCAGCATCTCTAAGACCCTACGGAACATGGCCAGTATCAGCTGTGCTTAACTCTGAAGGAGGAGTTAGACAGTGGACCCTGAGGCAGACAGTTTTGTAGTAAAGACCATTTTCAGGCAGAATGCATACAACTTGCTCAAAGGTATGGAATCACATAAAATCACACAGGACAAAGTTAAGAAATAACAAGTGGTTATACATGGCAGCGGCATCCGTTTGTGCCCAGGGAAAGAGACAAGTGATGAGTCTGGAAGGTCGGTTAATAGGAAACATCTGAATATTTATGGAGATGAAAGGCAGAAGAGGAAAAGGGTGTGGGAGAGGCTGTCCAAATCACAAAACACCAGGAAAACAATCAAGAATTCTAGGGAGAATTACATGATCAGATCTGACCCTCTGGAAGATGACTTTAATAGAAAGAAATAGAAATAGAAAAAGAAAGCTGTGGCTGGACCAGAGTGAAAGCAAATCTGTAGGAGAGTAGACTGCCTGGCAAGGTGTGTGTTGGTTCTGGGAGAAACGACAAGTGCCTGAACTGAAAGATGAGGGCTCGGGATGGAAGTGGGCTCAAGCAGGTGAGATGGGAGAAGGGACGTTATGAGTAAATACAGCCAAGTGTTGCTACCAGAACACCACCCAAGCAGAAAAAAGTGGGAAGACATAAAGCCAATTGCAGGAGAGGGCAAGATCTTAGGGGGCCTTACACACCACAGTAAGGAGCTTAGACTTTATGTAGCAGATGGTGAAAATCACACTAGGGTTTTAAACCTGTATTTTCAACACATCATCCTGGCAACCAGGTGGCAGAAGGCTTGAAAGTAGAAAAGTGAGAGGTCTGTGAGTGCAGGCAGGGGAAGTGCGAAAATCATCAGGGCTTAGGAATGGGTAGAAGCAAAGGAAAGTCAGCTTTGGCTTCGGTGACAAGAGACTGTGATGCCAACAAATGGGATAGAGATCAAAAACAGATGAGAGATTAGAGATGGAAAAGAAGATGCATTCATTATGGGTGTGCTGAGTTTCAGGTACAAATAGAACAAAAGTAAAAACTGTTCAAGAGGCACGGGGACAAAGCAGCACACTACACTGGGGAGGAGTCAGTGTGTAGGTGGTCACAGGAATTATGACATTTAAAATGAAGAAAAGTACAAACTAAACAGAAATGTGGACAATGGACCAAATCCTGGGAATACCAACACGTGAAGGAAAGGTGGAGGGAAGGAAAAAGTGAAAGAACGAGAAGGAAATCATAGCAATGATCAAGAGAATAATAAAAGAATGGTGCCATGATAAAAGGCTTTAAGAAAGCTTCTCTCAGCCTCTGTGTAGAAGAAGAAAGGTCAGATCCACACTTCTGAAAGTAGCAAAAATATCTGTCAGCTGGGGAATGGACAGATAAAATGTGGTATGTCCATACAACGGAATACTATTCAGCAACAAAAAGGAGTAAAGTACTGATCCAGGCTACATGACCCATGAACCTCAAAAACATGACGCTAAGTGAAAGAAGCCAGACACAAGAAACCAATGTATGACTTCATGTTTATGCAATATCCAAGATGGGCAAATCCACAGACACAGAAAGAGATACATGGTGATGTGGGGCTAGGGTTAGCAACACTGGGGGCGGGGGGTGGAGTGAGATGTGGTGCAGATCAACAGCAGACAAAAAGACCTCTGAATGGGAAGAAGAAAGCCTCTGTGGGGAAGGCTGGGCATGGATCCAGATGAGTTGGGAAAGGGGTCAGGAGCCAAGGCTTCATGCCTGAGAGATTCGATTTTCTTAATTATAAAGCAATGGCATCCTCGGAGTGAAGGGATAGTGGCTGAAAAGACAGACTAAGGACTAATGGAGTGGATGAAACACAAATCTGGAACTGCAACAGTGTTTGTAGTGGCTTGAGGGGGTAACAAAGGACAGGGACGTAAGTGAACTGAATATACAGGTAGAAAGCAAAGCTAGTTAACCACCTGACAGAGATAAGAAATTAAACAAAGAACCAAATCAAGATCAGGGCTCCCTACAGTCACAGAATGGGGTTAGTAGTAAAATTAACACAAGGGCTTGAAGGATTAAGAGGAGTCACCAGAGAGCACACTGGAAGATACTCAAATTCCAGGTATGGATGCCATCTTACTGGTGGAGAGCTGAGACAAGGCAGAGGTAAAGGTATGCAAGGACAGCAAGGCCTTTCTTCAGTGAGTGAAGCAAAGCAAAGAGGAATTTGGGACATGAAAGCAATGGGAGCGGGAAGATGGCAACCATGGGAAGGGGTAGTACAACCTAACAAGAGATGCCCCGAAGAAGGGGGTTTCTGGGGAAGCAAGAGCAAACAAGCATTCTATTAACATGCTGAGTGAATACAAAAATCTGTTCACAGCAGAACGAGTCCTGAAAGGAAAAGGAAGGGTAGGGGCAAGGAGGAGGATGAGGCGACACCGCTGGTAACACAGGATAAAGCCAGGAGATGGATCAGACTTGGGGGCTTGCCTCACTTGTGGGGCCCATGGGGAAGAAGAGGGCAACGGTTCAAATGGCCCAGTCTCTAGCACTCCACTTACAACACATTTTGTTTTGGTCTAAGAATAGGCTAAGGGTGCTGCATAGCACTTAGCTTGGACTCAAATTTTGTGGGGGCTTTGTGATGGCAAGGATTAAAATGTGGAATATATTAATTCACTCATAGGTCATATAAGTAATCATTTGGGGCCTTTCTACTGATTCCTAACACCTCCAGTGTAATCTCTTCTTCACTTATGGAAAGCACTGAGTGCTACACCATTTCCAATCTTAACACTTCCCAACTCTACTACTTATGGTTTGAGGAATTTAAAGTGATGGAGTCGCCAAGAACTACTTGCTATAAATCTTTCACATCTATCTAAATTCTATTTGATACACCCCTGCAGTATGGGGAGGGGTGTCTGTGTGTGCAAATACATACATATAATGTTTTGGTTGTCGTTTTCATTTTTTTGTTGGAGAGGAAGAAGAAAGGAAGAGTGGACGGAAGACACAATTACTGAGCCACCATCAAGAGCATGAGGATTCCACAGTATAAAGAAACTTATAAGAGAAACAACTTCCAGAAGGATCCTCTGGAAGGGCTACCTTACCTTGTCATGGACTGTCATGCAGCTAGCTGCATCCTTCTGAAGGATTTCTGTTACCCCATTGGAAAGCCTTTCATACTTCAGTTTGGGCTCCTCTTCACTTTCTTCTTCCTGCACAAAGAGCAGAGAAAATGACAGCCATCACGGATTCATTTGAAACAGTCAGACTCAAAACACATTCCTTATGGGGAACCCAGAGAGGGCTTCCTCCATGACTGTCAATAACTACAACTACAGCTCAAGGTTAAGATCGTCATGTTTCATTTTTCCTCCTGGGTGTATCAGCTGCTACAACTTCACCAGCAGAATTCATTCAAAGGTTGAAAACAGGAGGGTACGTTCTTACTGCTGACAGAATTCAACTTTGGTATATTAGAGTAAATACAAAACTATCTGGCCACATAAGCCAATAAAAGATGTGTGGGCAAAATACTCAGTTTGACCTCATGGGCATAAAACACTCCCAGCAGGGAGAAAGGAATACAATAAAACTCCAAAGACATGGATTTTGTATCTTAAGACTATAAATATTTTTGTCAGATTTCAGAATATTTCATTTTATTTTTTTTTAAAGATTTTATTTCTTTATTTGACAGAGATTACAAGTAGGCAGAGAGGCAGGCAGAGAGAGAGGAGGAAGCAGGCTCCCTGCTGAGCAGAGAGCCCGATGTGGGGCTCGATCCCAGGACTCTGAGATCATGACCTGAGCCGAAGGCAGAGGCTTTAACCCACTGAGCCACCCAGGCGCCCCAGAATATTTCATTTTAGTTAGAAAAACATAGTTATAAAATCAAAGAAAGGAAATTGGAAATTTTATATACAACAAAATGTATTTGTACCTTCAGATAAAAATATTTTAATATTTACTTTCCAAAACTGATAATCCATGATCACTTGTGTTTGTTAGAAAATGTATTTACTTTCATTTGAATAAACCTAATGCATAAAAATTTCTTTTCCTTAAGTGCTCCACATCACTCGGCATCAGGGAATCAAAACCACAATGAGATACCACCTCACACCAGTCAGAAAGGCTAAAATTAACAAGCCAGGAAGTGACACATGTTGGAGAGGAGAGGAGGGAACCCTCCTACACTGCTGGTGCAGCCACTCTGGAAAATAGCATGGAGGTTCCTCAAAAAGTTGAAAATAGAGCTACCCTACGACCCAGTGATTGCACTACTGGGTATTTACCCTAAAGATACGAATGTAGTGATCCGAAGGGGCATGTGCACCCGAATGTTTATAGCAGCAATGTCCACAATAGCCAGACTGTGAAAAGAACCTAGATGTCCATCACAGATGAATGGATAAGGAAGATGTGGTACTATTCCACAGTAATGGAATACTATGCAGCCATCAAAAGAAACGAAATCTTGCCATTTGCAACGACATGGATGGAACTAGAGGGTATTATGCTGAATGATATAAGTCAATCGGAGAAAGACAATTATCATATGATCTCCCTGATATGAGGAATTTGAGAGGCAAAGTGGGGGACTTGGGGGGTAGGGAAGGAGAAAATGAAACAAGATGGGATTGGGAGGGAGACAAACCATAAGAGACTCTTAACCTCACAAAACAAACTGAGGGTTGCCGGGGAGAGGGGGGTATGGAGAGGGTGGTTGGGTTATGGAAATTGGGGAGGGTATGTCCTATGGTGAGTGCTGTGAAGTGTGTAAGCCTGACAATTCACAGATCTGTACCCCTGGGGCTAATAATACATTATATGTTAATAAGAAAAAATTAAAAAAAGGAAAGAAAAACAGAAGGGAAAATATTTGAAAAAAAATTTCTTTTTCTTAAATGTATTTAAATTTCTTAATCATTTTGTATGCACTATTACTAACTTTGTATGTTCAACCTCACTGCTGATACAGCATACCTTATAATATCTCTAATCCTCACAGTTGTGGAGTAAAGTTAGGAACCTATATTGACTACGATGGTTCTAAATTAAATCAAGGATAATTATAAAAATTATTACAATGACTCAGAAAAAGATGTTATTTTACTGTATCACTATGTGACAAGAAACCATAAAATGTGCATGCACCTTCAACTGTGACAGGATAAAGTGGGCCAAAATAGAAGTTCACAAACATAATCTACTCACTGACATTCTCTTAAAATATAATTGTATATGTGGCGCCTGGGTGGCTTAGTTGGTTAGACGGCTGCCTTCAGCTCAGGTCATGATTCTAGGGTTCTGGGACTGAACCCTGCACTGGGCTCCCTGCTCAGCAGAGAGCCTGCTTCTCTCTCTTTCGCTCTGCCTGTTGCTCTGCTTACTTGTGCTCTCTACCTCTCTGTCAAGTAAATAAATAAAATCTTAAAAAAAAAAATTGTATAGTCTTCATTTCCCAGCTAACATTAAAGTAGTATGAGGCACACCAATGCTCCCACCCAGAAAAACCAGAAAGCCTTAACGAAATACATAGCAACAGTCAAAGGCATCAGTGAAAGGGCTGTTGAAGCCACTACCTGAGCTAGAAGGACCAAGATTCCAAGGTGGTGGAGAAACCGGAGAAAACAAGGGGAGGTGAGCTGCCAAGCGCCAGCCATTCTTCCTGGAGGTATTTACCAATTCGGAGTGTAGGACAAGAGGCTGAGAACCCAAGCTCTGCCTTGGAAGATGGCCATTGCTGAGGGTAGGAAAAGCAGCAAACCTTCTGGTACTCATAGGGCTCAAGTAACAAAACTGGAAGCTTGAGGGGCTAAGATCCCAGTGGAGGAGAGAGGCATACAAGTAAGCTTGTTACACAGCTACCTCTCCCCATAAGACAACCTCCAATTTCGAAACCAACATGAGACAAGAGGGTAAAAAGCTAAATAGAAAGCCTCAAAAATGCAAACCAGCTGCCTTGGTATGCTGAGAAGATAAGAAATAGATTGCAGGAATTACCAACAAATGAAGTTCTGATGAATACCACAGGCTAATCGGAACTCCTGGTCCCAAGGGGACACACAAAAAAGTGTTTACCAAAACTTCAATCTGTCTCAGACTCATTTCAACCCCTGACTAGATTAAGGTATGTATGTATCCCCAACCTACCTGTCCAAAGGACAGGGTGACTTCTGAGAGAAAAAAGATGAAAACTACTCAGGCCTCTACTATTTTCATTTATGATACTGAGAATAAAAAATAATAAAATCAATAAAAAAAAATCACCAGATATGCCACAGGACAGGACCAAGTAACTAAAAGTCAAGGAGAAAAAAAAGACCATAAAAACAGACCCATGGGTGACCTGGAGTTAGCAAAAAGGGCTTTTATGGGACTATAATTCATTTGTTCAAAAAAAAAAAAAAAAAGAAGACAGATGAAAGGACAGCAGTTTTCAACAGGGAATTGCAATCCGTTAAAAAGATTCAAATGGAAATTTTAAAAGTGAGAAATGTCACTGAAACTAAGAATGCAACAGATGGCTTAGCAGAAGACAGGATTAGTGAAGTGTAAAACAGGTCAAAAAATATCCAAAGGGAAGCCAGAGTAGAAAAACAGATGAAAAATACAGAATAGGAGATATGTGGAATACAGGGAAAAGGGCTAACATTTTTATTTAAAGTCCCAGAAAAATAAGAAAAATGGCAGGGGGGAAAAGCAGAAATGACATTTAAAGAAGTTAACAACTGAGAATTTCCTAAAACTGACAGACATCAATGCAGGAATTCAAGAAGCTTTGTAATCCCATGCAAGATAAATATGAAGAAAATAACACCTAGATACATCACAGTAAAAATAAGTAAAAGAAAAATGACTTGTAGAATGGTTAAACGCTGGGCCTGGTGAAGATTATGACTGACAGGACACACCGGGAAGAGATGCAAACTCAAATGAAATCAAACTCAAGAGAAATCTTTGCCTCTGGGGCACAGAACTGTATCATCTCATGGAAAGGAGGATATTCATCAAACATCATGAAAGAGACTTAATATCAGATCCCACCATTCTCTTGACTTTAGAAAAACAAACACTGGAGAGTTAAATGTAATTATTCCATTTTATAGATTTTTAGTACAATGATGATCAGAAATTTTAATTTCACCAAGACACATACACAAAGCCAAAATTCAAACTGTTATGAATCGCCTAAAGTTAATGACTTGTACAACACACTACCCAATCGCCTATGAAAATGATGCTACACATCACAACACAAAATGAGGCTACAAAAGTCTCCACAATTTCTATGCCTACAAATAACTATGAACTGCATGATCAATAGGAAATGTTTAAAAATATATTTAGCGGGCGCCTGGGTGGCTCAGTGGGTTAAAGCCTCTGCCTTAGGCTCGAGTCACGATCCCAGGGTCCTGGGATCGAGCCCCACATTGGGCTCTCTGCTCAGCAGGGAGCCTGCTTCCTCCTCTCTCTCTGCCTGCCTCTCTGCCTACTTGCGATCTCTGTCAAATAAATAAATAAATAAAATCCTAAAAAAAAAATTTAGCAGATGCATTAGTTATCTATTGCTGCATAACATATTATGCCAAAGTTTGCTGATTTAAAACAATAAATGTATTATTTTTATTTATTCATATTTATATAATTTATTTTATTTTATTTATTCATGTTTATATAAATTTATTCATATTTATATAAATAATATTTATTCATATTAAATATGAATTTAATAGTTCTGTGGGTAAGCAATACAGGACTGGCTTAGGTGGGTGGTTCAGACTTAAGGTCTCTCACGGGGTTGCAGGCAAGATGTCTGCTGAGGCTGCAGCCATCTGAACATGTGACTGGGGTTAGGGTATCTGCTTCCACAATGGCTCACTCAAATGTGGCCAAGCTGGTGCTGCATGTTGGCAAGGGGCTTCAGTTCCTCACTTCACTGACCTCTATCTGGGTTGCTAGAGTGTCCTCAGGACACGGAAAATGAAGTCCCCCGAAATGAGTGCTCTAAGAGCAAGCAAAGTTGAATATGACGTAGCCTAAGAGGTCACACTTCTGCAATATTCTACTGATCATACAGGTCAGCCACAATTCAGTGTGGGAGAAGGGGTCACAAGAGCAGGGGTAATAGGTGAGGATCACTGGGGGCCACTGTGCAGGCTAGCTACAAAAGTAATAAAATTAAGAGCAATGAAGATGGTTTAAAAAA